ATATATATATATATGTATATATATATATATATATATATATATATATATATATATATATATATATATATGCATAGGAACTAAACTGAAAATAAACTTTCAGATGCTATCCCTTACACATACAAATACAATTGACTCTGTTTATGTCTTATAATACTATTGGTTTTCCTCTTTATACTACATGACAGAGCAAAGATTGCAAGCTTCGAACGCTACTTAGTAAAGGAAGGCACCTAATCATATGAGCTAATATCTACAAATTATGTTACACTTTATGTATACATGTATGTATAATATGCGTGCGCATAAAAACACTTAGATTATATAAACATTTCTCTTTTCTCTATAATATTGTCACATCTTTTTACACTGAACTAGATCTTGTCCATGGACTCGATTAGAAAGGCGCAGTATTAGCAGTAGAAAATTCACAGTTAATTGAAACGATAACTCGAAAGTTATAAAAATTCCATCTACTTCGTTGAGTTCGGTATACATGAGTAACATTTTGAGTGTGTGAGTGTGTATGTGAACGTATCTGTGTGTATGTATCTATGAATGCAACGCGATAAAAGTAAATGTTAGTATTACTATTGGTGTAGGGACGTCGGGGAAGTAATGTAATGAACAGCTCCCCGGCGCCTCTACTATGCCCCAAGAAGGCATCCCGGAGAGATTTTAGCCGGTAGAAGTCCGACACAATCTCCGTCCTCCCCTAAGGGGACGAGAGAAGATGGATTCATGATGGATTTTCCCTCCGTAAACCTTTCCCCTCACCAATTTTCCCTCACCAACAAAAAAAACGTATTACTAGTACCGTTGTTATAATGTACCAGTAACACTTTTACTTCTATATCTTGTTCAACGGTCTCGATTATTACGGGTGCGAAAGTCGCGTTGTTAGCGTAGTCGAAAAATTTATATCATGGCGTTAACGCGTCGTCCAATTGTAAGAAATTATTTAAAAGAGCTATAGCCACCTTGTGCGATCTGAATATCAATCGAGACTGTTAAATGATAAGTCAGTCTTTACACAATAAGGCCAATCCTTTTTAGGCGAATCCGTGTTCTTTTGCGACGTATTATGCAGATTTTTTTTTCTTTTTTGTAACGCGGATGAATGTTACGAGAGTTACACTTCAAATGCTATTATCTGCGCCTTTGTAACACCGACTTCTGTGAACTATGTATTACTATAATTTTCGTAAGGAATACTCTGTTCATATATATGACCTCTCTTTTTTTTCTTTCTCTTTCTCTCTTTCCCGAGAGTTTATGCGAATACACGGTACATATTTCCTTCCTTCCTTCTTTTTTCTCTCTTTCACTTTCGTCGATGCAAAGACTTCGTAACAGGATTATATTTTACAGATGTATGTATACAGTTTAGATAATCCTCTTAGAGAAAAATTGCTTCGTAAGAGCTGACTGTAGATTGTACTACTAGTAGAAATCTACAAATTTTAAAGTACAAACGTAGCGAAAAGACTTAGCTGCAAAAATAGATGCACGAGCTTTCTCTACCTATTTATCATTTTTGGTATCAAGCTGCCAAGTTCCACAACCTGGTTTCGGTTAAAACATGTTGGAAAGAGTGCTTCTTTCTTTCTTTAACGCACAAATCAACATTTTCCTCTATATGTCTTTTTTTGTCTGTCAGTTCCTTATCTCTACCTGTCTCTCTCTCTCTCTCTCTCTCTCTCTCTCTCTCTGTCTCTCTCTCTTACATACACACACTCTTTTTCTCACACCCTCTTTGTGTAAATCTTCTAAAAATGCAAAAAGTAATTAAAAAGTGGTAGTATATGAATTAATACTTTCTGACTTGTGTAAATCACGTTTTTATACGACTCACTGCACATTTGTCAGTTAGGCATGTGGATGTATATGTATAAATATATTTATTCATGCTGTATGTATGTGTATTCGTGCCTTCTGATATAAATGTACGCAGCTATATGAGCTGCTATCACATTGCCTTGTCGACGTTTGTGAAAAAATAGTTGGCAAAATATACAAGCGTCCGGAAATCGTGATACATACATGCATGCATGCATACATGCATTCATACATACATACATTCATACATACATATATTCATACATACATACATATATATACACACACAACAATAGTATTTCTTCGCGATTCGCTTCTACAACCTTTAAAATACATATTGCTATCTTGAAACTTTTTAATGTCAAGACACGGAAACAAGTTATACGTTAAAAGAAATACAAATCAAATACCGCTATACTTCGATGAAAATTTTACTGAGATAGATAACGAATCAATGTGCCTTTTTGCAAATTTATTTTGCGCCATATGCCTCTTTGTCCTATATTTTTTCACAAACGTACGTTTCGGAAACGGGTTATGTAAATGGGCACAAACTTCGCTCGCCCCGAGTTCACTCCACTAACAAATTCGCGCATTTTTCGAAGCTGAAGAAAGAAGGCGAACCGCCTTGAACGCGCTCTCTAAACAACCTGCATGTCGACTGTGTTCTCCCGGTGTTCCTGAGAGATTACTTGACTATATCACTTTCTTGTTTCTTTTACCGCGATTAACTCCTCTCAGCCGTTCTTTAATCGCAGCTACGAATACAGAACGTTATTCAATCCAACAATCTCTATCTCCTACAATGTATTGGTATAAAAGATTGGTGTAAAAGTTTTGTTATGTCTGCCAAATAAAGTAGGAAACGGAATCTTCTCATTCCGAAGGATTATAATAATTTCCACGAACAAAATATACAACACCTACCTTGGTATTTTTTAGACATTTAACGAGGACTTTCTATCTTCTTCCTTTTTTATCTCTCTCACTCCTTAACGCACAAATCAACACCTTCCTCACATAATGTCTTTTTTTGTCAGCTTCTTATTTCTACTCGTGTCTCTCTCTCTCTCTCTCTCTCTCTTTTTCTCTCTTTCTCTCACTTCTCTGTGTAAATCTTCTAAAAAAACAGAAAGTAATCCCCACGAGAATTTAAGAGAACCGTATCGACTGTTCCATCAACTTAATTCTATACTCGTTGCGCGAGCGCGCCAATAACAAACGATTGCGCGCGTTAACCGGTGCCGGCGGAAACCTCATTTCAGGTGAACGGATTGCTCCTCCTCTTCAATGAGCCGAATCGCTTCTCCGACTGCTCGCGGATCACCTCGAAGGGCGCGACCTTGGTGCGCGTCTGCTTCTCTTCGTTCTCGTCACTGGGGAAATCCTCGAAGCTCATGTTGCTGAAACCAGCGGTCGCCGCGGTGCTCCTCTTGCTCTTCGGTGTCTTCTTGTGACTCACAGTCTTAGTCTTGTGCGATACCTTGGTCGGCAGCACGTTGACGATGTCGCCGTGGTTCTCGCTGATCAGGTGATACTTAGACTTGTCCCGCTTGTGCTTCGGCGTGTCGTCATCCGTAGGACCGACCAGCGGCTCGGGCGACATGGGCGATATCATGTCAGACGCGATGTCCACCTTGGAGACACTGTTGACCGCGTGCACCGTGATCCGGGCGGTGTGCGCAGTCGGTTGGATCGTATAGGTGACTTGCTGCGACGCTGCGGTGGGTGGTGTGGGTGTCAAATGGACCACAGAGTTGGGCGATTGCACGCTGCCGCTGCCACCGCCTCCACTGCCGGTCGTTAAAGTCACGTTATCGACGTAGTTGCTAGAATGCGACTGCGACAATGCCAAGGATGTCGGGCGCTGTTGCTCGTTGATCTTCAACGATGCGAACTCTTCGAATGGGATGGAGCCGAAGAGATCCTTGGAGGTATCCCCGCTGACCAGTGGCTCGGATTGGTTCACGGTCACCATGCCGAACTTGGATGCAGATGCAACCGCCGTCGGGAGGGCAGTAGAGGCGACGTAGTAAGCGTCCGTCGGGTTGTGCGGACGTTGCAGAGGGACATTTGCGTAATCGAGATACGTGGAGCCCGGGGAGCTGAGGATCGTCGACATGGCTGGCTGCGTGGCTGCGTCGATGCCGGCGTAGCCGGGCTGGACGTTGTTGAAGGGGTTGGTGAAGCCGCTGGGGCTGAACGGAGACGAGCCGAAGAGGTCTTTCTCGGCATTCTCGTCCTCTGCCTCCTCCTCCTCCTCCTCAGCGATGCCGACACGGTGAGGACCGCTCTTGACTGACGGCGACGTTTGAATGGGTTGATGGAAGCTCACAGGAGGCTCCTCGTAAATGGCTTTATTACTGACACCGGTAACAGCGATGCTCTTTGGATACTGAATGCAGGACAGAACGGACTTCGGAGTCAATGCCTTACTACCGGCGTCCACGTCCACGAACACCTCCGTCGGCGCAGACACCGGCGAACTGGAGATCGGCGTCACCAAGTTCGAGTTGTGCGACGGTGAGTTCCTGTCGCTACCTAAATCGACGTTCTTGGACTCGCTGCCGCGGCTGTCGCTACTCTTCCTGGAGCTGCTGGACCTGGGGAAGGGCGCCATGGCAAATACATCGTCCTCCAGCTTCCAGATACCGTTGTTCAACGACTTAGATCGCTCGTTGTCGTCGGACGAGCTGTCGCCGTTGAACAGCAACGGCTTCGAGCCGTACTGATGCCGCACGAATGGGTCGCCATGCGATTGCTCTGGCTTCGACTCCGGGTCCAGTTCATCGTCGAGCAGCAACGGCTTCTCGCCGTACTGGTGGCCGACGATCGGGTCGGCGTCAATAGTAGGCAACTGTTGCTGTTGCTGCTCCCGGTAATGCCTCTTCGGCCTCTTTATCCTGTAGTCGTCCTCGTGCGTCGCTACCGACTCGCACTCCGCGTGGTACGCCGAGCTGCCGCATGTGCGCACGCTTTCGGAGACGGTCTCGTCGATGGTGCGTTCGCGCTCGTCACCGTCGTTCTCCTCGTCCTGATTACCTTCCTCATCGTTCATCGCCCGCAGGTCGCTAGCTGAGCCGATCGAGTCGTCGGATTCATATTCCACCGCGTTCGCGTTGTTCACGTCGTGCGCGACTCGTCTCCTGCGGCTCAACACGTTCTTCACTCGTCTCCGCTTGGCCTTCTTCGCGCGCTCCTTGGTCGCGACGCCCTTGTTGTCGCTGTCGCTTGACACCTCGTCCGCGTTGAACGCCAGCTTTTCGTACTTGGAACGATCCTCTGCTGGGGCGCGCACGAACGGCGGCGAGACCGGGCTCGATTCCGTGATCAACGACGCCTCATCGTCGACTCCGCCGACAATACCGGTACCGCCGTCGACTCCGCCGCCGACGACGCCGACGCCAGCAACGTCGTTGGTCCCGTTACGATGCTCGAGCCCGGAATTCCACTGTGTCAAGGGCCCTCTCGACCTGCCGTTCATCGCCGATTTACCTGCGGAACAGAGAGTTATCCTCGTTAGCACTCATCGTCGCAGGGCTTTCTACGTTTAAGATAAAGTGCCTTCTATTTACGAGATATATATGTACGTCATCATCGCGATCGGAAACGTCGAGCCTGTTATTTACTGAGAAACGTATCATTACTTACCTATTGTATTCTTACTTTCGCGAAACTTCGCCAGAGAAACGTAATTCTACGTGATAACAGTGATTATATTAATCCTTTCGACTAATGAAACTCTCTCTCCCTCTCTCTCTCTCTCTCACACCATGCGAAGTATCCCGGAATCTATCTTTAGATATTTCATAGAGATATTTTTAGAGATATTTCATAGCACACATAAAAATGTAAACAATAAGACGTAAGTAATAAGTAAGAAAATGAAGAAGCTACAGTCGACTATTCTTTTTCTATGTCTGCACAGAGAAAAAAATACTTGAAATTTTATTTGTGGGATATAAGTTTATTTTCATAAATAAACTTTATATTTCCCACAAATAAATTTTCAAATATTTCTTTTCTTAATATAGGAATAATTGACTGTGTTTGGTCAAGTTTTTTTACTGCTTAAGTCTTACCACTTACGTTTCTCTGTATGCCACAGCCCTTACAGCGAAAGAAAACTGACTGAGAATCTTCGATAGGTCGACCTTCTAAGATTCAATAGATCTTTAGGATACTCCGTATAGATACACACGCACTCAGAAATGCATTTTAAATAAAAAAAAAAAAAAAAAAAAAAAAAAAAAAAAAAAAAAAAAAAAAAAAAAAAAAAAAAAAAAAAAAAAAAAAAAAAAAAAAAAAAAAAAAAAAAAAAAAAAAAAAAAAAAAAAAAAAAAAAAAAAAAAAAAAAAAAAAAAAAAAAAAAAAAAAAAAAAAAAAAAAAAAAAAAAAAAAAAAAAAAAAAAAAAAAAAAAAAAAAAAAAAAAAAAAAAAAAAAAAAAAAAAAAAAAAAAAAAAAAAAAAAAAAAAAAAAAAAAAAAAAAAAAAAAAAAAAAAAAAAAAAAAAAAAAAAAAAAAAAAAAAAAAAAAAAAAAAAAAAAAAAAAAAAAAAAAAAAAAAAAAAAAAAAAAAAAAAAAAAAAAAAAAAAAAAAAAAAAAAAAAAAAAAAAAAAAAAAAAAAAAAAAAAAAAAAAAAAAAAAAAAAAAAAAAAAAAAAAAAAAAAAAAAAAAAAAAAAAAAAAAAAAAAAAAAAAAAAAAAAAAAAAAAAAAAAAAAAAAAAAAAAAAAAAAAAAAAAAAAAAAAAAAAAAAAAAAAAAAAAAAAAAAAAAAAAAAAAAAAAAAAAAAAAAAAAAAAAAAAACAAAATAAAGTCACGATTACAGAAGGACACATCCCGTGTACAAATGAAGATGAATCATCTTCTGAACGTAATGTATAAATCAAATAATTAAATGTAACGTGTACACAAATAAATATGATACATATTTCTGCTCCTCGAACGCTTGCAGATTCAACTATTCGAGTGTCGCGCGAGCTTCTACACAATGATGTTTATACAAAACAGTAAAGGACACACGCACGCGCACGTACAATATATAAAAGCACAGTACTTTTTCTACGGAAGAAAAAGACTCGGAAGAGACAGGATACGTCTGATTAGGTCTGCTGCAGACAGTGCATTCTGCCAGGCGTGATGTGCGTTAAAACATTTACAGTCTTGCTGTAATCACCTTTGGAAAAAAAAGAAACAAAAAAGAGAAGATAATTCAGAGGTCGAGCCCTCTCGACGTGAAGAAAAAAAATAGTACAACAGACATATTCTAGTTTAAGCTATTGTTAGTACCGCCACCAATAGGTCTGGAACAGTCCTAATCAGATTCAGGGGGTTAAGGGTAAGTATACGTGAAAAACGCAGTAATGCTCTGAGTTGCAGTCTGGTAATAACGTGCACGTGTTGCGCCAACGGTTTCGTCGCAACGGCTTATACGCGGAGAGCCACAAATGACACATAAACCAACGCGATTTCTCTCCCTCTCTCTCCTTCAGAGATCGTTCGCGCCTCGACATACAAAGTATTGCTGCGTTTTGCGCCGGTAGCATTCAGAAAAAAACAAATACTCCGTATGCTAATTTACATTTTTATTGCTGTAACATTATTTGTCTTAATACAGCGACAAAGGTACCATCCGAGATTGTTAGCCCCCTATAGTGCTCTTAATTCGCAACAGGAGATTTCTCTCGTTCTTTCTTTCTTTTTGACACAACAAGAATATCGCCATAAAAACCACAAGGAAATGCATGCTTGTGTTCCACGGCGAATGAGAGGGTTTTTCTTTTTGTTGTTACGTTGATATCATTCAACTTGACTCACCGTATCAGGGATCTCTCCGTGATCGCGACCGTGCGTAATCAGAGGCACCATGGGAGGCAAACAAAGCAGGACAGGATCAAAAAAATTTTCATAAACAAACGGTAAAGTTCGTTTCGAAATGAATATGAAAGTGTTTGTGCCTCCCAAACTCATTAGGTTGTTCCAGACATTGGACAGAAGTGTGAGATATTCGTTTTGTCTTTCGTCAATTCTTCTCTCTCTCGCTGTCTTACGAAAACAAAAAAGCGCACTTGTCAGTTATCATTGTCTCCGCCTGTTGTCGTACCCTGAAGGATCTTTTTCTATTTTGCGATACTAACATACTCAAGGAAGAATCAATACATTACGGCGATTCCGGTAATACTACTAGTGTCAGTGCCAAGAAAGATAATCCGAAGCTCACCTCGCTCTTACATCGCTCGAGCTTCGCATTACCTCCCTTTTCGAGCATTTGTGAACGGAATTGATTTCGCAATATCTCTTTTTCCGTGATTCAAGAAGAAATTGCTATTGGGTTCCGCACTTTTACATCTAAGCCATTACATCGTCACGTGAAAATTCCATCCAAGGAATAACGATTGTAAAAAGATAAGTATTATCGCGCGTTGTCAATTAATGTCTATACAGCATTCTCGTTACATTAAGATATGTTTTTTGATATAAATGTTTAACGCATTCTCTCGCGGGCGACAAGTACGTAAGGCAGGATACGCGAAAGTACGCAAACGGAGCACACACGCATACGCAACGGATCGTGATTTTTACATTCCCAAAATTAAGATAAGACGATGATGATTCAACGCGATATCGCCTCTTGATCGCATCTCCTTTGTTATCTATGGAACTTGCACGTTGCGCGATATCGCTAAATCACATCGTCCTATTTTAAGATTCGAGCATACAAAATGGAAAGAAACGTTAGTTACATGCCCAAAAAGAAACCCAAATTAGTAAGTGTCGCGTAAAAGCGAAGAAACTCAGAACACCGTAAAAACGAATAGAACAGAAGAAAAAGAAAAGAAGAGACAGACGAAAGAGAGATAAAAGAAACAAGAGGACGAGGAAGAAGAGTAAGAAAAGAAAATAATTGATAAATATTATTTGCTAGCCACTGTAGTATTACCATCGCGCAAAGGGAGAAATACAATTTCATGGTATTATATATGTATATATAATAACCCTTATGTATGTCCATGTATGTATATGTTTCATGCGCTTACGCATCGCGCAGAGCCATCGTGGGAAGGAAAGGTCCGCGGTATCGTTCGCTATGTAATAATCTACAAACACTATCGCTTTCCTATTAAAAAAACTCAGTCGTTAAAAAGAAAAAACAAAACAAGGTATCTAATCTCACTGAGAACACAATTTTCATGGTATTGTTAATCACACTGGGTAATCGTTTTCAGAATATTCGAAACCTATTCTTCCCATACCTTAATGTGCTATATAATACAATTATTATAACATTCAATATACGTTTGCACGTATATGTGTATATATATATATGTGTGTGTATATATATATATATATATATATATATATATGAGTAGGACAAAATAGTGTACCTAAACTTTGTATATCACATAATATATAACATAACTTTTCATATGTTGCATGACGTACATGTATATGTATATTCTCATTTATTTATATATTTATATATATGCAATATTTATATGTAATTTGTTCCTTCCTTTTGTCGCCACACACCAATCACTTCGTACAGAAGCACTAAAAATAAAAGCTAATCCCGCTTTTTGTGCATTACATACCGTAGGAACATCTCTATTATAAAGTTAAAGATGAAATCTTTTCTTTTTTCCTCATCGTTCACTCTATATGTTCAGCATATTTTCAACAATTTTTAATAATATATTACACTTGCTATAACATTTTATATATATATATATAATATATATATATATATATATA